GGGGCCCCGGGGGAATTGGGGGCCCCGAGGGAACTGGGGGCCCCTGGGGCCCCGGGGGTTTCTCAGGGGAAGTGGGTGCCCGAGGGGCCCCTGGGGACCTGGGGGATTTAGGGGGTTTTGGGGGAATGGGGGATTCAGGGAATTTGGGGGATCTGGGGGCCTTGGTGGGGGGAGGTGGTCTAGGGTTTAGGGTTTAGGGTTTAGGGTTGGAAGGAGGTGGCATTGTTGTGTTGACTTGAGTTGTTACATGGAGACTCTGTGTACTGTTCTATTTGTTTCTTTTGGCTTCGGCTTCAAGACTTTGCCGCTGCCGCCGCCGCTGCTGCTGCTGCTGCTGCTGGTGTGGGGAGCGTGTGCTGCTGCTGCTGCTGCTGCGGGTGTCTGCAGCTGCGGGTGGCGTCGCCGAAGCTGGTGGCAGAAGAAGCTCCAGCTTCTTATAAAGACATTTCCGAAGTTGTTGAAACTTGTCACCAAGCTGGGATTTCCAAAAAGTGCATTCGTCTGCGCCCAGTGGCTGTCATCAAGGGCTGAAGAAGCAGCAGCAGCAGCAGCAACAGCAGCAGCAGCAGCAGCGGCAGCAGCAGCAGCAACAGCAGCAGCAGCAGCGAGAGCGGCAGCAGGAGCCGTTGGGGGGCACGCAAGGCAGCAGCGCAGACGCAGGAGGGTTTGCTAGATAGAAGGCGGCTCCTACACAACCCTAAACCCTAAACCCTAGACCCTAAACCCTAATGGCCCAGAGCTTCTAAGCACTGGCCGAGGGCTGAGTGTTTAAGACATTTAGGGGCCCCCCTCAAAGGCATTGGAGCCATTTAAGGGGCCCCAAGGGTCCATTCAAATGCATTTAGAAGCATTTAAGACATTTGAGGGGCCCCAATGGTCCATTTAAATGCCTCTGGGGGCCCCAACTTTGATTAAATGGTCATTTGTGTCCACTTGAATGCCTTTAATGTTTGTAGAGGCATTTAAATTGGCCGATAAATGCCTTTAATGCCTCTCTAGGCATTCCCGTGGCCCTGGGGACCCCCAGGGTCCCCCAGGGGCCCCCAGGGGCCCCCGGGGGCCCCATGTGTGAGAGCAGCAGGCTCTAGTTTAGGCCATTTGGGAGTGGCCATTTGTTAGTGTAGCAGCAGCAGCAGCAGCTGCTGCTGCTGCAGCGGGCCACACTAGCGGGCTGCTGCTGCTGCTGCTGTAGCAGGCCGGAGTAGTGTGGCTTCCCTTTAGCTGCTTCCGCGTGCTGCTGCTCCTGGCTGCTGCAGCCAGCAGCACTGCAGCAGAAGTGGGTCTTTCTTACATTTGTGGATTCTTGCTGCGGACTTGTAGATTAATTATTTATTTTTGAATAAATAAAATACTTTTTTATTTATGAGTCAGTCAAAATGAATTTAGAATAATTAATTCATTAAACTCTCTTTGTCCCAAAGGCTTTAAAGTAATAAATAAAGGCCCCACTGGCCGCATGCATAGCAGCACAAAGATATTTCATTTTCTGCTTCAAAGGCCCCCAAATAAAAGTCCAACAGGTAGTTTCCCGCAATTAAAAAAAAGAATCCCATCCTAGTGGCAGCTGTGCTGCTGCTGCTGCTGTTGCTGCTGCTGCTGCTGTTGCTGCTTCTGCTGTTGCTGCTGCTGCTGCTGGGGCACTGCAGGCGCACATGCTTTTGCTTCCACAGGGAAGGGGGGCCCCTCTTAAGAATGAGTGCAGCGATTTGCAGCAAACCCTGCAGCCTTAAGGCTATTTTAAAGTGCTGCTAGGGTACAGGGGGCCCCCTGCGCAAAAGGGCGGGGTTGGGGGCCCCCGCAGCTGCAGCAGCAGCAGCAGCAGCAAGCTGGGGGAAGTGGGTGTTGCTGCAGTCGCAGCTAGTTCTGTGGCCTAGCTGCTGCTGTGCAACTTGGCTGTCAGAGTGAAGAGAACAGGAATTGACTTATTGAGACAAACAGTTGAATAAAATGGCGAATAAAATGTTAAATAAATTTGATTTTTAAATGCAAAAATGCTGAAGGTTGAGACTTGGAGGAGTTTCTCTACCCTGCAAATAACTAAGTGGATCTCATTTTGCAAATTTTGCAGATTTCCCCTTCGTCGCTTTGGATTTCAAGAAGTGTGAAGGGCTCGTGCATGCTTTCGGGTCTTTCAGAATTAAATTAAAATATTTAAATATAAAAAATAAATTAAAAGACCTTCAAATATCCCTTTGTTCACCTTTTAAACTGCTGGGATTGGATCTTTCAATTGGCAACGCCTAATGCCTTGAGAAAACTAACTGGACTTCGAACTGCTCTTCATTTTGATTATATAAAAATATAAATATAAAAATAAAATAAATATAATGAATATAATAATAATAAATATAATTTCCCATTTATGTGTAGAAGACACTGTGCTTGAAACTCAAAAATCGCACAGAGGGGGAGGACCAGCATCGCACAAAAGTGGAAGTTTGAGACAAAAACGGGGCAGAGTAAAATATTATAAGTGCAAATTGCATTTTATTTATAATATTTAACTCCAATTCATTTTTAAAATATAAAAAGGAGCTCCTGTTGTTCGTGGATTGTTTCCGCATTCATATCCTCAGCTCGACGCCACAGCATCCACTAGCGTTCCCACACAATTGGGCGAAAGAGGAAAGAAGCGCTTAATTAAATTCCTCCATTTAATTGAATTTTTCCACTTAATTGAATTTTGACATTTACTTAAACTCCATAATCTAAAAAAAGGATAATCTTCGTGGATTTCTCATTATTAGGGGTGGGGGCCAGTGGTTGCAGCTACTGTGCACCGCAGCATCGAGTTGAATGCGCAGTGTTCGCAGCTGCTGTTCTCACTTGCCTGAAACCCTTTTAAATTCCACTTCTTTTAACCCTTTTAATTATTTTAAATTATAATTTTGGGAAAAATACTAGCAGCCAGCTCTGCTGCAGACCATTTGTTTTCAAAGTCCTCAGAATTTCACGTTTGGGGGGCCCCGCGCCTTGAATTGAGCCACCGGAGCCAACTGTGGGCTCCCTCGCACAAGAGATTTCCACTGAATGAAACTGCTACGAAAGGAAATAGAAATATGAAAAGGAAAAGAAAAAACAGTTAAATATATCCGAGATTTTGTTCAATTAAAAGCTCGAAGGATTTCACAGCATGCAGCAGAGGGGCTGGGACTGCGAGTGCGACGGCGCTGGCACTTTGCGAAAAAATTGGCATTTTGTGGGAAATGAAGTGCCTTTTTGAAAGCTTTAATTCCTTCGCAAATAAGATTTTCAAAAGTGTTCCAAATAGTTTTGAATTTGAGACATTTTTCCGGAAGTTTCAAAACATTCTCGCGACGATCGGCCCCAGAAGGTTCAGTACGCACTGCTGCAGCTACCTGTAGTTCTGAGTGCAACTCTGCAAAATACATGGAAACAACTCACTTAAAAACTCTTTAAATTCACATATTTAGAAGAAATTTGTCTTCAAATTCCTTTTTTTTCAAAAAAGAAAACCATGAAGGAAAGATCTGACACCCCCTATGGGTGGGTCGGAGCCCGGCACCTCAGCCAGCCCTACAGGCCGGCGGCACTTCTTGCCTAATTGACTTTATTCAATATTAATATTCCATTTTAATGTTCTTTTCGCAAAATAGGCCACTCCAGGGTTATAAAAAAGCTCTAAAAACCTCTCAAAAGGCTCCAACTGCTTCCTGCAGCTAATTGCTGCAGCGTGGCTTTCAAGAAACTGACTCAAAGACCCACAAAAGAGCCAAAGACGAGTTTCTATGTCTCACAGAGACAAATCAGGGGCCCCCTGGGGGCCCCCCACAAACCCTTTAGGGGCCACTAGCGCTCCCTGGGGGGCCCCCCAAGCCATACGGGGCCCCTAGGGCCCCCTGTGGGGCCCCCAGAAGCCTCTAAGGGGCCCCTAGGGCCCCCGTGGGGGCTCCAGAAGCTCCTTAGGGGCCTCTGGAACTCCCTGTGGGACACAAGCCCCCTATGTCCCTATAGGACTTACTGTGGGGCCCCCAGAAGCCCTTGGGGCCCCTAGGACTTCCTGGGGGGCCCCCAGAGGCCCTTGTAGGCCTTCAGGACTCCTTGTGGGGCCCCCCGCAAGCCTCTTGGGGGCCCCTGGGGCTCCTCGGGGGGCCCCCAGAAGCCCCTTGGAGGCCCCAGGGGCTGCATGGGGGGCCCCCAAAAGCTCATTGGGGGCTCCTAGGACCCCCTGGGGGGCCCCCAAAGGTCTTATACCGTGGCAGCTGAAAAGTTATTTCAACAACGAAGTTCTTGAATTGAATAAAGGATTAGTTTTTAGTTACTTAGTTTTGTGATTGTCTCCGGAATAAAATAATTTAGATCCTTCATAATTTAAAGCATTTCCATTAAAGCAGCAACTTCAAACAAATGTTAAGAAGCAAAAGTGCGGACTTTGCTGCCAGCAAAAAGCCGCAGCTGCACCCCTAGCTGCAGCAACAAATGGCTGCAGCAGCAGCAGCAGCAACAGCAAAAAGCTCCTAAAAAAAGAGAGAAATGCATTCACCTAATTTAAACCTTTAAATATTCTTAAAAAAACAAAAACAAAAGATTTGCAAAAAAAATTCTTCTAATTTCGTGTCCACAGCATCTTTGGAATAGGTGCAATAGGACTTTTGTCGAAGTAAAAACTAATTCTTGTTGTGAAAACTTTGCAATTAATTAAATCAGTTGAATTAATTAATTAAATCAATTTGTTTACTTCAATTAATTGAATTAATTCAATTAATTCAATTAATTCAATTAATTCAATTAATTTAAATTATTCAATTTGTGCAGTTTGGCGTTTTTGGGTACTTTGTGGCTAGCTGCGTTGCGGAGGAAGCGAAGCTTGCAGATTTCGCCGAAGTTTTTAATTTTTAACTTTTAAATGAAATAATTAGAAATAAATAATTAATTTTAACTCTTTTTGAGTGTCTTTTGAGGCCAAAGAAGGCGAAAACGGAAGCAACAGCAGTGCTGCTGCTGCTGCTGCTGCGGACTGGTGCTGCAGTTGCCGCTCTAAGAAGCGCGAGCGCAGGCTGCTGCTGCGCGCTGCTGAGCTGCTGCTGCTGCACACAGAAGCAGCAGCAGCAGCAGCAGCAGTGCTGCGGCAAAGGAGCCGAAAGAAGCAGCTAAAGAGCAAACAAATCCTCAGAAGCAAAGCCTCGGGATCTGCTGCAGCACTAAGAGAGTAAATGAAGTGAAGTTGCATGCATGAAAGAGCTGCAGCAGCAGCTGCTGGCAGCCTCTTGGGGAATGGAAGGCAAAGGGAGTTCTTAAGATGTGCATCAAATCAGAACTGCTGCTAACCCTTTGGGCTGCAGCAGCTGCTGGCCAGAAGCAGCAAGCAGCACAGCAGCAGCGCATGCAAAGCAGAGAAACCCCTGCTGCTCAGCAGCAACGGGGAAGCAAAAGAAACGGATTTCAGCAGCGCAGCAAGTTGCTGAGCAGCAGCAACAGCTGGCTGCAGCGGCAGCAGAAGGACAAGGACAGACACAGCAGACACACCTGAGGGGCGTGCTGGTGGGGCTGCAGCAAAGCCTTTTAGCTGAAAAAAAGGCAGATAAACAGCAGCAGCAGCAGCAGCAACGGAGGTAGCAGCAGCAGCAGCTGCTGCTGCGTCACACAAGCAACCACGCCAGGCTGTCCGTACACCCCAGCTACTCCCGCGACACCCATTCAACTTCTTCGCAACTGCTGCTTCTCATTTTTAACTTCTTTATTTTGCAAACAGTTTGAATAGGCACTCCCCATCAAGCCCCAGAGGCGCAGCAGCAAGAAGGCCTGCCGCTGCTGCTGCGGCTGCTGCGGCTGCTGCTGCCGAGCAGCAGCGCGTACACCAACCAGTAACAAAAGCCGCAAAAAAACTGCAGCAGCAGCAGGAATAAATACTAATATTTAAATACTGCTTGGTGTTGCATTTTGCTGCTGCACAGTGCGGTGAGGCTGCTGCAGCAGCAGCTGCTGCAGTAGCGGGGTCTGGCAGGGATCAGTGCCCCTAGCCTCATGCTGAGCAGCAGCAGCAGCGGCAGCAGCAGCAGCTGCGGTGGAGGAGACCCGTTTGCCCAGTATTGTCTTTGCTGCTGCTGCTGCATTGTGAGCTCCTGCTGCCTTTGCTGATCTTTCTTGAAGAGATCTCTTAACCGCGGTTGTCTCCCTGGGGACTTCAGGTCTCCAGCAACGCCTTTCAGCAGCAGCAGCAGCAGCAGCAGCTGCTGCTGCTGCTCCAACTGCAGCAGCAGCAGCAACGCAGCGACAGCGCACGGACCGAATATACGATTCTTGCTGCTACTTCTGGACTCTGGGCTGCTGCAGCAGCGGAATTTAGCGGCGGCAGCAGCAGCAGCAGCAGCAGCGGCGCCGGCTCCTTCTGCGGATGATATGCCACCTCCCAGGGGCATTCAGCAGCCGCAGCAGCAACAGAAGGCGCAGCAGAAACAAGTGGGGGTGCCACGGATGCAGCAGCAGGTGGGCAACTAGCTGCGAGTCCGTGTGCTGATTTTCGCGCTGCTGCAGCAGCAGAAGGCTCAGCAGCAGCAGCAGCAGCAGCAGCCTCAGCATCAGCAGCAGCAGATGGGACCTGCAGCACCAGCCTCAGCAGCCCCCTGCAGCCCCATAGCAAACACGCGCCCGCCTGCTCCATGTGTCTCTTAAATTCGACAGGAGCATTAGCGACAGCAGCAGCAGCAGCAGCAGCAGCAGCAGCAGCAGTTGTGTGCACGTAGCCCCGGTTGACGCCTCACCGTCCTTTTGCGCATGCAGCGCCCAAGTGAGCAGCAGCAGCAGCTGCTGCAGCTGCAGCAGGAGCTGCAACAACAGGAGGAGCAGCAGCAGCAGGAACTCTACGCCGGCGAGCCCCAAGAAGGTGGCCCGCAGCAGCGGGATGAGGAGGGGAAGCAGCAAGAGCAGCAGCAGGAACAGCAGCACGAGGAACAGCAGCAGCAGGAACAGCAGCAGCCCGAGCAGCAGCAGCAGGAGCAGCAGGGAGAGCAGCAAGCAGGTGCCTGCGACGGCAGCCAGCAGCACAAAGTGGGCCTCAGCAACGACGATGGGGGCCTCTTGATGCTGCAGCAGCAGCTGCAGCAGCAGCTGCAGCTGCAGCAGCAGCAGCAGCAGGAACCAGCGCTAAAGCAGGAAAACCCCGCACTCTCTCAGGACGGGCCGGCTCAGGAACGGCTGCAGCAGCTGCAGCAGCTGCAACAGCACCAGCTGCAGCAGCTGCAGCAGCAGCAGCTGCAGCACCACAACCTGCAGCAGCAGCATCACCTGCAGCGGCACCACTTGCAGCAGCAGCAGATGAAGCAGCAGCAGCAAGATGCTTATGAGTCCAGCAGCAGCCCAAGAGCTCCGGGCGATGACTTTGCAGAGTTCTCTAAAGGAGAGAGGGATGTGTTTGCTGTCTCAGGGTGACTGATGTTGCTGCTGCTGCTGCTGTTGCTGCTGCTGCTGTTGTTTCTGCTGCTGCTGCTGCTAAGCCGACGCCGCTGGTGCAGTAGCTTGCGGTCCGTGTGCTGCGCATGTGTTGCTGCTGCTGTTGCTGCAGGGAAGGAACAGAGCCCCAGCTGCAGGCTGAGCCGCAGCAGCTCGTGCTGCAGCATCTGCAGCACCTGCAGCAGCTGCAGCAGCTGCAGCAGCTGGCGTCAGATGTGCTGTGGACCAACGACAACAGACAGCAGCAGACGCTGTCTTCCTTGGGGCCCGATTACGTGCTGAAGCTCTTGCTTCTTCAGCAGCAGCTGCAGCAGCAGCAGCAGGTGCAGCAGCTGC